GCGCCGCGCCCCGGGAGTCCGCGCCGGCTTCGACGGCGGTTTTCCGACGGTTGTCTCGGAGGGCCGGGCGTCAGAGTGCCCGCTTGGCAGGGCATCTCTCTGCGCCGTTTCAATGTCGGCCGAAGGGTTTCCTCTGCGGTCTCCTCGTTCAGCGCCAACTTTCGGGATCGGCCCTCGTGGGTCTGGGGCGTTGCGCGACGCGAGTGCCGGCTGACCTGGGCCCGACTGCCCACCGCGGCCGCCCGCCTGGACGCCCCCAGGTCTTCGGAGGCCACCTCAGTCGACGCGTCGCTCTACTGGTTCGGAGCAACAGCGCGCCAGTTCGACCAGGCTCGCGCGGGCAGCATCTTGCGCGTCAGCGAACCGCGCAGGTTTCGGAGTAAACAATCGAATTGTGCAAGGACTTGAGACGTCCTGGATAACGGGGAATCGCCATTCTCGTTCCTCGCCCGCAGCAGCTCGGGCGAAGCCCCGGCGGCGGGGGCGCTCGCCGAGTTCCCCGAGGCACCCGAGTCATCCGCCAAGGATGCCCCCTGGAACGCCATCGTTGCTCGGTTGTAGCAGTCGAGATCGGCGTCTTGCTGATCAGCGCCACCTCCCCCCCCGTGGCTCGACGGCGCGGGTCTATGGGAGGTGTCAGCGGTTCCTGCTGCGCCGCGGTCGTGGGCCGCGCGGTCTCGCCGCCGCCTGATTTGCGCATCCTCGGGCCCCCATCGGAGTGGAACGGCGTGGACGCTCCCGGCCGCAGACACGACCCGTTTGGCGAGCACCGCGCTAGGCACATCTACTACCGCAGCCCCTTTTGGGTCGCGCACTGCGCGCCCCAAAAGTCCTTCGCGGAGAGCCCCTCCCCCTCCCAGTCGTGGGCGACAGGGCGCCGCGTCTTCCCGGCCCCTGGCAACTCGCGGCTGCGGCCCCGTTCGCCCGCGACCCCCCAAGGCCTTGGGCGCGACCGAGGTCGGCCGGCCACGGCGGCCCCGAGGCCTGCCTGGCCTGGAGGCGGACAATCTGCCGGGCACGACGCCGCGGCCGCCGGAGCGGCGGCGGGCTGCGAGGTCGCCGACCGCGCCAGCGCCGTGGGTCCAAGCTCTTCAGCCCTGGCTGCCAGTCGGGGGCGGGCCATAGCGGCCCCGCGGGGCGACCCCGTCGGGCCTGGCTGGCGGGCCGAGGGCCTTGCGGCGACAGGATTGACGTCGGGCGGCCTGCCAGCTGCGCCCCTGGCGGTGCGCGGGCCCCGCGCGGCGCCGCGGCTGTCGACTCGGAGCGAGGTCCAAGGCGACCCCGATGGTCGCGGCCGCCGCGACGCCGGCGACGCAGTCCAACCGCCCCGAGCCGCATCCTGCGATGGATGACGAGACGGCTCGCCCCGTCGCAAAAGCGGCCACCGAGCGGGGCGCGCTGCTGACAAACTACACGGAGCACCTGCACGAGACAGGCGCGACCGAGAACGTTGCCAGGGCGACGCTGGCGGCCGCGCGCTGGGCCGAGCCCGCCATCCCGCGCCCGTTGCGCCGAGCCCCCCCCGCCCCCCCGCTGCCTCAGCAGCCCGGCCCCGCGGCCCCCGGCGGGGCGGCGGCGCGCGGGGCCTGGCCGGGCCCGGCCGCCGATGCCGCGGGGGCCGGCAGCGGCTGCCGCCTCGACCTGCGCGCCCTCGGGTTGCCGAGCCTCGGTTGCTTCGCGACGCCGGTCTTCGAGACGCACGCACAACCCGACGAGGCGCGCAGCCGCCCCCGCTACCAGCTTGCGCCTGCCGCCGCCGGCGACCTCCCCGGCACCAGGGGCCGCCGGGCGATCCTGGCCCGAGCCATCGAGCTCGGCAGGCCTGGCAAGACAGGCGAGTTCGACGGCAGCGTCGGCCGGCGCTGCCGTTGCCAGAGCTGGGGGCGATCGTCGCGGGTCGCGAGGAGCGCGGCCGAGTTTTAGAGCTCGGCTACCTGACGCTGCCGCACTATGGGCGCGCCTCGCCCCATCGAGTAGGTCTGGAGCATCTGGAGCTAACGGCATATTGCCATCGACACGGAGGCGCGCCCGATGACCCAGCGAGCAGGTCAAGGTCCATGCGAGAAGCGATGATGCGCGGAGGCTGGCAGACCTTCTCGAGCCCAGCCAGGCGCGAGAAGCGCGCGCGGCCAGGGCGAGCACTGCAACGGGCGGGCCAGACCATCGCGGCGAGAGCACGGCAGAGAGAGTCAGAGCTGGGCAAGCTTTTTTCTCTATGCTTTGCGGCGGACAGAGCCGATGGCGAGATGGCGCGTGGCAGGTTTTTGTTCTGCAATTTCTCAGGCAGCGGGCCAGTAGGACACATTATCAGAAAGCGTTCGGGGGCGGCATTTTTCTTTTCGAAAAGACGCCCGGGCCGCGACGCGACATTCGGCGCACTTTCACCTGTGCTAGGTAGGCTGGCTGAAAGCTGAGCACGCGTGGGGGTTTTGGCTTGCCGTGCCAGGTGGGCGCGCCAGAATGGCGCCGCTGGCATGCCGCCCCCTCGTCTCTCGAACGCTCGCCGCAGAGGCCTGCCCGACCTCGCGCCCGCCAACGCCCGAATCGACCGCGCAGGCCTGCTCTTGAAGACCGCCGAAGGTCTCGGAGCGCCGCGGGGTAGGAGCAGCCCCGACACGTCCCCGATTGGCTTGGCACCCGCGTCGATTTCTGTTCGCGCGGCCTCCAGATGGAAAAAGGACCCGGATGCTCATGCTTCGCAGCGGTTCGCCCGAGGCCTCCAAGCATGCGCCTTTTGGCAGTCGCGGGATCTGCAAATTCTCAGGCAAGCCCCACGCACGCACCGGCAGGTAACTGAATGTCTTCTGCGTGCCCAAGCGTGCTGGGCCGCGCCCTACCAGCATAGCGGAGAGTATTGCGCGGAGTTTAGATCATGCTGTCCACAGAGTGGTAGTCGCGCAGTGAAATTGCCTCTACCTCGTGCCAGTTCACTTGTGGCTTTTGCGCGATGCTCGTCGTTTTGCGGCGTCGTGTCTCGGCAATCTGCTTCTTGGAAAAAAGATGCAGGAGTTGGCGCCAGCATTCAGAGCCCCGAATCATCAGGGGCACCTCGGGTCAGGGATAACTCGGGTTCGTTTTTCGGGAATCCAAACCCGAGTTACCCCGGGCCCGAGTTACCCCGGATAACTCGGGCGCCCAGAGCCCCACATCATCAGGGGTAACTCGGGTCAGGGCTAACTCGGGTTCCTTTTTCGGGAATCCAAACCCGAGTTACCCCGGACCCGAGTTACCCCGGATAACTCGGGCGCCCAAAGCATCGCGTTGACGCGCGCATTCAAATGCATCGCCCGCAGCCACTTTTACCCCGAGAGTCCTTGGCTGCCCTTTTGACGCCACGCCCGATGCCCATCGAGCACTGCAACTGCAGTGGCAAATTGAAGTCCGACGATGCTCATCGTCTCGCGGCGTCGGGTCTCGCAAGCTGGCTCTTCGAGAAACAGCAAGAGCTGGCATCGTCATCGCTGTCATTCTGGGTCGTCTTTCGACCGCCCCCGGGCCCAGCGAGGGCCCTTGGAGACCAGGGGCAGCCAAAGCTCCCCGTCGTGTAATTATCTGGGTGAGCATGCGTCGCAGGTGCTTGGTTTAGATCGCGCCTCAAGCGAGGAGAAAAGAAGCTACGCGCATCGCCTCCGTAAAGCCCAGGCGATAGCATTTGTTTAGCTGCCCCCCCGGGGCCTCCCCTTGCTGGACATAGATGAGCGCCATAGCTTCTGATGGACCCTCCCTTGCGGCGGCGGTGGTTGTGCAGGCGGCGATCCGGGAACCCGCGCTTCGGCGAACGGTCGTTGTTGCGGTTGCTGCGGTAGCGGGCGCGGTCCTCAGCGCCGGCGTCTCTGCACATGGAGCGAACTCAGGGCTCGCAGGGCGAAGTTGAAGACTCCGATGATCCTGTTCAATTGTTGGAGAGGCTTCGAACCTGCGCGCCGAGCCCAGATGTTGCTTAAGATGGAGAAGCGCCGGACGGCCAAGCAGGCCATGATGGCCACAGATGATCCAGCCTCCCTCCCTTCTTCCCGATGGCCTTCAGCCTCGCGTCGAAGCCAGTCAACATCTAGCTAGCAGGCGCAGCCGACCAAAGCGCAGACCTCGGAGGAAGTCATGCTGCAGAGCCCGCTCTGGCACCCGCTCTACGTCTGGACCGCTCTCGTTCGCCCCCGCATCCCAGACTCACCCCCTCTGGTCAGCGCGCCGCTGGTGCAGCTCCGCCCTCCTTAGCGGCGACACTGCGACGAGCTGAGACAGCAGATGGGGCGAGTTCTTGCCACGCTCGGGGGAGATCTCTTGCAGCGTCACCTGTTCCGGCCCCATGTCATTCACAATTCCGGGCGGATTCGACGGGCGCTTCGGCAGGGAAACCGTCTTCTGGCCGTGGTGAAGGCGCTGGCGGTTCTAAAACCAGCCGGCCTGAGCCTGACACGGGACTGACAAGGAAGTAGTTGTTTTTTCTGTTCGTGCAGTGGCCATCCATACTGACGTTTCCTTACGCCTTTATGCATCCAGTTGGGTGGCTGCATACGTCGAGCGTGTTACACAGTTGTTGCGTCTTGTGCTACAAGCTGTTGAGGCAGTACATATTATGAGGATCGTTGTTTTCCCAATGCGGCTCCGCTTCCAAATGCGAGTCCCTCGTCTTGCTGTTTCCAGAGGTCAGACAGCCCCTGACTATATACATACACGCGCTTGGCCCCCCAAGGGTTCCCCTGGCCAAATTGCCAACGGTGCAGCATCGAGCGAGCATCGTCGACGCTGGGACTGGAGGCGAAGCGGAATGATGCACTGTACAGCGGGGTGTTTTTTTGGAACACCCGCTGTGCACAGCAGGAGGAAGAGGAGGAGGAGGAGGAGGAGGAGGGGGAGGAGGAGGAGGGAGAGAAGGGGAGGAGGAGGAGGAGGAGCACGAGGAGGAGGAAGAGGAGGAAGAGGAGGAGGAGGAGAAGGAAGAAGAAGAGGAGGAGGAGGAGGAGGAGAACGGGGAGGGGCAGCAAAAGCACCGCAGAGAGGCGCACGCGGCCCGCGCCTCGGGCGTGCCGCGCGGAGAGCAGCGGCTGCTGCTGGGGGGCCGCGAGCTGCGCGATGCCTGGCTGCTGGAGGCCCCTCGAGGGCAACGGTCAGGGAGGGGGGGAGCCTCCTCCTCCTCCTCCTCCTCCTCCTTCCTCCTCCTCCTTCTCCTTCTCCTCCTCCTCCTCCTCCTCCTCCTCCTCCTCCTCTCTCCTCCGTAGCCATTTTGGCTCAAGCCTGCCTTGGGCGCCAGGCGGGCGAGGTGCGCGCCTTGTCTCTCTCTCTCTCCGTAGAGTCCCGTCGCCTCGGCGGGCAAAGAGAGCGGCTCTGTCTCAGTCCCCTCGTCCTGCGGCCCTGGCAATGGCTACGGTCCCCGAGCGCGGGTCTGGTGGCGGCCCTCGCCCCACTGGCTCGGGCGGCGGCGGCAGGCGCGGCGGAGGGCGGAGGCGGGCGGCAGAGTGTGGCTGCGGCCGTGGCTGCTGCCCTCCGCACTGGCGCCTCCCTGCTGGGCCTGCAGCAGGACGTCCAGCAGACACCGCTCGACGAGGCGGGCGAGCAGGAGGTGGCGACGCGGCTCCTGGCGATCGAGCGGGCGCTCTCGCTCCAGGTCGCGGGACAGCCCGTCCCAGGCGCGGTCCGCCTGGACCGCAACCTCGCCGCCCACGCCGAGATTGGCAAGGGCGCCGGCGTCCTTGGCCTGCCGGTCGCGGAGAAGCGGCGCCGGCAGCGCGGCCGCAGGCGCGGGCGCAAGCAATCCGAGCTGTCCGACACGGCGGGCCCCTCGGATGAGAAAGACGAGCACTGGTCCAACCTTGTCTGCACGGACTCGGACCAGGGCTGCGACAATCCACACTACAAGTACGGGGATGGGGACAAGGAGAAGATCGAGAAGGTGGTGCACGATACCTTCAACCTGATGGACCAGCGGACCTCCACCCTCCTGAGTTTCGAGGGCAAGCAGAAGGAGCTGGAGACCATCGACAACCCCATTCCCAAGAAGGCGCTCGAGACTGACCAGGCGGTGCAGGACACAGACGTTGCGCGAGAGTCGCAGCACAAGGGCGTGCTCAAGGAGTACAACTCGTCGGCTGCTTCCGCTCCCCTCGAGTGCATGAAGAACGAGCCCAGCCTGGGCAAGGGTGGCAAGAGTAAGCCCCGCGGCTCCTACGCCATGGTCAACATTGGCGTGGGTAAGTCGGGCTTCGAGCCGCTTGGGCGCGTCGGCAAGGGCAAGGACAAGGGCATCGGCCTCTGATTCGCCTGCCGTTCGCACACCTGCAGATTTATAGGCTGCGGGGTATCGGCGCTAGCCACGTCAGAAGGCTATCGCTTCTGCCCTCGAGCAAAAAATCCTCCTCCTCCTCCTCCTCCTCCTCCTCCTCCTCCTCCTCCTCCTCCTCCTCCTCCTCCTCCTCCTCCTCCTCCTCCTCCTCCTCCTCCTCCTCCGCTCAGGGCGGGACGCACCCAAACATTCAGAGGAGGAAGATGTACTGATACCGCTACCTTGGCCCTTGGCCTCGTTCTCACATGTGGGGCTACTGAGGCGACCTCGTCGCCACCGCCGGATTCGCGTCGAAATTCTTGTCGGAATGCGCCCCAGGAGAGGTGCGTGGAGTAGCGGTATCGGTATAGTTGTGCATGTTCGCGTCGTGGCGACGGAAGGTTTTCGACAAAGGGACAGTCAAAAGTCGATTGAGGATGACGAGCCGGTCTCCAGGAAAGGGTCCAGAGCTCTCGGGAGCCACGTTGGCAGAACAAGCACGTCGTCGGGGTGTCGGATGTTTGGGCATCAACCCCTAATCGACCGCGCAGGCCTGCTCTTGAAGACCGCCGAGGGTCTCGGGGTGCCGTGCGGTGAGGAAAATTCGGCTACATCTCTCCTGTGGCTCTTTCCTGCTCGCAAGCATCTTCTCTCTAAATGGCCTCACCCCAGTGTCGATTTCTGTTCGCGCGGCCTCCCGATGCGATAAAGGACCACCCCGAATCGCCCATTCATCGCCGACGGGGGCATCATAATCTGCCCACCCCGCCCAGGAAGGTGCGGGCCTGCTGCCGGGGGCCGACCGCCGCTGTATTGCCGACTCGATCGCTCGACGCCCACCCAGCCCAGGCTGGACGGACCGGCCTGGGGGGGCGTGGGCGCCGAGCTCGAGTCGGCAGAACCACTGGTTCTATTGCCGACTCGTTACAGGGGGGGACAATCGAGGGGGACAGTCCGGGGGACTGTCGGGGGGACTGTCGGGGGGAGGAGGAGGAGGAGGAGGAGGAGGAGGAGGAGGAGGAGGAGGAGGAGGAGGAGGAGGAGGAGGAGGAGGAGGAGGCGGAGGAGGAGGAGGAGGAGCAGGAGGAGCAGGAGGAGGAGGAGGAGGAGGAGGAGCAGGAGGAGGAGGAGGGGGAGGAGGAGGTCCCCCCCCTGCCGTCACGTGTCAGCCCCTCGTCGTCGTCGTCGCTGCTGCCGCCGCCGCCGCTGGCCTCGAGGAGCTCGAAGTCCTGGGACGGGGCCCCCGCGGCCCTCGCAGGGCGCCCCCGCTGCCACGGCCAGAGCTCCCCGCGGAGGTCCGGGCGCACTCCCCGCGAGAGATCCCCAGAGGTCCAACGCACTGAAAAAGACAAGACGGAGGTGTTTCGCAAATTTCGCAAATTTCGGAGGTGTTTCGCAACAAAAACAAGACGGAGGTGTTTCGCAAATTTCGGCCCCGGGGGGCCCTCGCCGGGCCTCGGGACCGTGAAAAAATCAACTCGGGATGCAAGACGGGTCCTGGGGAATGGGTCGAGACTTCCGGGGACCGCACATTGAAAAAATCACGACGTCGGATCTCTGGGTCCCAGGACTGGTCAGGCTCTGCTGCCGCGCGGGGTCCTTCTTGCGACGACGACGACGACGACGACGACGACGACGACGACGACGACGACGACGACGACGACGACGAGGACCCCTCGGGGGAGCCTCCTCGTCGTCGTCGACGTCGTTGCCGTCGTCATCCTCGCTGCCGCGGTCGTCCCCGCTGGGGGCCGAGGAGGATCGAGGATTCCGGGTGCGCCCTGGCTCGTTCCGGATCCACCCCCGCTTGGGAGTCCTCGTGCGCCTCCACTGGGATGGCCGTGGGGGGTTCTAAGCGCATAGGGGGGTTACAAGTGGATGTTAAGGTGGGGTATACCTGGCCCAACCTGGCTTATAAGTGGGTTACAAGTGCCGAGTGGCTCAGGGGGACTTAGACAACTCCGCCAAGTGGGCGCAGCCCACTTGGCCCGGATCGCTAACCCCCCTGAGCCTCTCGGGGCACTTGCAAACCACTTGTATGCCAGGTTGGGCCAGCTATACCCCACCTTGGCATCCACTTGCAACCCCCCCCCAATCCACTTAGAAACCCCGCGCGGTCCTCCCAGCAGAAGGCCTCTGGAGCGGGGGGCCGCCGCCGCCGCCGTCGCCCGCCGCGGATCGAGGAGGCCCCAGGAATCGAGGAGGGCCGAGGCTCCCAGACCCCCGACGCCATGGTCTCTTCGCAGCGTCGCCCCCCCCGAGGTCCGGAGCCCTTCCCCGGGACCCGCTTTTCGTCCTGAACCGTGTTCCGGAGGTGGATAGACCTCCTTCGGGCGAAGAGAACTATGCACATGCACCGATCCTGGCAAGGCCCGTCCTTGTCCCAGGATCGGTGCATATACCTTCCTGGCCAAGGTAGGAGGGCGTATGCACCGATCCTGGGCTCAGGATGGGCCTGGCCAGAATCGGTGTATGTGCATAGTTCTCTTTCCTCTACTCCTACTACCCCGACGCGTCGATTAAGGAATTGGCCGTTTTCGGTTCGCGAGAGGGCGTCGCGGCCGTCATTTTTGCGGGTCCAGGTCCGTCGGTTTCGGTCCCAGGCCGTTTTCCCTAAAGGGAGGTTTCCTAAAGGGAGGTTTATCCACCGCCGAATTTTGGGACGGCCCGGGGGCCATGAGGGGCCCTCGGGGGGCCAGGAGCGGCGAAAGGTCGCGGCCGCGACCCCTTCCCCGGGACCGCTTTTTCCGTCCTGCAGTCGTTCTGGGACGGCCCCAGGGCCCGGTATCGGGCCGGACGAAAGGGGGGGGATTGGGAAAGGGGGGGTACGAAATTTGTTGCATGCAGTTGGTTTCGGCCCCACCGAGGGGCCCATTCCTCGATACATAGCCGCCTCCGGCGCCGGGAGGCGCCCGGAAAATCAGCTACGTGAGCTGATTCTCAAACCCCCCCTTTGCTATCCCCCCTTTTCGCCCGGCCCGACGGTAGCAGGCACCCCCGGGGCCAAGAGCAGCAGGAAAAAAAAGCCCTCGTAGTGTTTTTCCCCACATCCAAAGTGGGGTTCTTGTTTTCTCTGGACACCCCGCGCAGGAACAGGAACCCACCATCGTCATCATCATCATCATCATCATCATCATCATCATCATCATCATCATCATCATCATCATCATCATCATCATCATCACTCATTCCTCACTCACTCACTCACTCACTCATCATCCCTCACACACTCACTCACTCACTCACTCACTGACTCAACAGCACTCACGTATGATGATGATGAGTGTGCGCGTGAGAGAGTGTGATGATCATCATCATCATCATCATCATCATCATCATCATCATCATCATCATCATCATCATCATCACCAGTCAGTCAGTCAGTCACTCAATCACTCACTCACTCACTCGCATTGGGCCTCGTCTGTGAGTGAATTATGAGGAAGTCTCAGGCGGGAGCCCCCTCCCTATGGGGCCCGCGGATTATGTTACTAATCCGAGCGGGTCATCCAATTCCTGTAACTGTCCCCATTTGGGGGCTCTCGCGCTGCCAGAACGCCATTCCCAGGCCACATTTTGAATGCCCGGAGCCAACTGTAGGCCACTTCGTGATCTTCGTGCTCCCAGAACACCGGGAATGCCTGCAAGGGCCCCCTCCTTATGGGGCCCGCAGATCATGTTACTAGTCCGAGCGGGTCATCGGAAACATGTAATTATCCTCACTTTCGGGCCCCTGAGGCTTGAATTTGGAGGAAGTAGCAGGCGGGAGCCTCGTCTGTGAGTGAATTGCGAGGAAGTCTCAGGCGGGATCCCCCCTCCCTATGGGGCCCGCAGATCATGTTATTAATCCGAGCGGGTCATCCAATTATTGTAATTGTCGTCATCAGTTTTGGGCTCCTCAGGCCTGAATATGGAGGAAGTCTCAGGCGGGAGCCTCGTCTGTGAGTGAATTGCGAGGAAGTCTCAGGCGGGATCCCTCTCCCTATGGGGCCCGCAGATCATGTTATTAATCCGAGCGGGTCATCCAATTCTTGCAGCTGTCGTTAATTTTGGGCTCCACAGGCCTGAATATGGGGGAAGTCTCAGGCAGGAGCCTCGTCTGTGAGTGAATTGCGAGGAAGTCTCAGGCGGGAGCCCCCTCCTTATGGGGCCCGCGGATTATGTTACTAATCCGAGCGGGTCATCCAACTCTTGTAACTGTCCCCACTTTTGGCCTCTCGCGCTGCCAGAACGCCATTCCCAGGCCACATTTTGAATGCGCGGAGCCAACTGTAGGCCACTTCGTGTTCTTCGTGCTCCCCGAACACCATTCCCGGGCCACATTTTGAATGCCCGGAGCCAGCTGTGGGCCACTTCGTGTTCTTCGTGTTCCCAGAACACCATTCCCGGGCCACATTCTGAATGTCCGGAGCCAAAACAGGAGGGCGAGGTCGGGGGCAACGTAGGGAGCGGGGGGAGGGCCCGCGCCAGGGCGAGAAGAAATATACGCAGAAGAGACAGCCAGGACGCTTCACCAACCACGAGGACGACGGTGAGGTCTTTTTCCAGATTCGCCCAGAGGATTCTCACGTGGGGTCCTTCCGTCGGAGTAATCTTGTTGTCCGCGACGCGAGGAGGCCCGAGGAGGCCGACCTCCGACCTCCCGCAGGGGTGCGGGGGGGGGGGGGGGGGGGCGGCGCGCCGCCGCCGCCGCCGCCGCCGCCGCCGCCGCCGACGACGACGACGACGACGACGACGACGACGACGACGACGAAGACGACGACGACGACGACGACGACGACGACGACGACGACGACGACGACTACGATCACGACCACGACGACCACGACGACCACAACCACGACAGCGACGACGACGACGACGACGACGACGACGAGGAGGGTCCCTCGAGGGGTCCTCGTCGTCGTCGTCGTCGCCGCCGCCTCCCGGTTTTTCGGGCGTCGCAAGAAGGGCGCTCTCGCGGCAGAAGAGCCTGAGCAGGTATTTGAAGCCCCGATGAGGGGCCACGATCGAGGCTCGCTTCGATTCCTCCGATTCTATTCAAACTCGGATCCCGATGCGGACTCCGATCTCTCACCGGAGGCCTACTAATATGTTGTTCCAACCTACTTTAGCTTTGATCACTAAAAGGAATTCCGAGCACCAGAAAACGTACCGAAACTCTAGGGTTTTCGCGTGTCGGGCCCTGGGAGACACTCGTCCGACATTGTTTCGACATTATTTCGACTCTCTTTCGACACTTTTCTGGGCCCTCGAAATTATTTATGGGGTGTGGTCCTTAAGTACGATGGGAGCAGCATAAGCCTACTAGCCTGCCGAGTTCCGCCGATTCGAATTCTCCCGACTTGGTCATCGGTTTCCGCTGGGCCGGTCCATCTCGATCGCCGATCCAACTCATCGATTCGATCTTGGGTTCTCCCGCAAGGGAGTGGCACAAGGGGGGTGGGCTTCTAAGGATCAGGAAAGAAAAAAAACACAGACACAAATAATCGTCGAGTCCCTGGATCGTATTGGAAAATATGGGGGAGACGAACATCCAGAAACTATGGAGCATTGTTGGGGATCCTGGGAGTTGTGTCATGTGTCTGTGTATCCCTGGGCCCCCAGCAAGGAAGGCGGGGGGGGGGGGGGGAGTCTCAGAAGGCAAAAGGGCCTCCCGGGAAGGGCCTGGTGCCTTTTAAAAAGAAGGCCTCCTGGGATCCAGGAGGGCCTCGGAGAGGCCGCCCGCCTGCGTGGAGAAGCCTCCCCTGCCTGCCTGTCGAGTAGGGGATCGACTGCAGAGTCGGTTTAGCCCAAACTTGCAATTCTCGTGCGGGGTAACCCCCTGGGCATGGGGGGTTACCCCACTGGGCGTGGGGGTTACCCCACTGGGCGTGGGGGTATCCCACTGGGCGTGGGGGTACGTGCGGGGTGCCCAACTGGGCGTGCGGGGTACCCCACTGGGCGTGCGGGGTACCCCACTGGGCGTGAGGGTATCCCGCCGGGCGTGCGGGTACCCAACTGGGCGTGGGAGTATCCCACTGGGCGTGGTTCTGTACCCAACTGGGCGCGCGGGGTACCCAACTGGGCGTGGGGGGTGCCCCACCGGGGCGCGGGGGTATCTGCAGAGAGTACCCAGCTATTGTCGCAGATCTATGAATATACAACGTAGCTGTTCGCAGACTTCGACGAACACATCATCTCTGGGGTAAATCAAATCTCTACCCGATGCCCGACTTGATTCTCAGAAGCCCATCCCACGCGCGCCAACCCGTCGTGGGCGCAGCCGAACGGTAGGCCACCGATGTCCAGTTCCCGGCAGTCATCACGGGGCGTGAGCAACGTTCACGGATAGTTCGCAGAGAGCTAACAGGCTTGTGAGATTAGGAGGCAGCGCCGCAGGGTGGCCTTGGAGCTCGTTCGGGCTTCCGGCCGGAATCTTGGCCGCGGCTCCTGTGAACCGACAGCCTGTTTTGGTAGGTTTTTTCTAACTGTTTCCCAATACGTGTGCCGTCAAGCTCCCCAGAAGCTCTTTTCCAGAGCTTTCAGAGTTTCCAGAGCGCCTTTGGAGGACCCTCCAGAAGCTTCTGTCGCCTGGCTATTTGGGTTTTGGGCACCACGAGTGATACATAATGTTTGCAGACAAGCAGTTTCGGGACGAAATTATCGAAGAAGATAAACGCCACAAACATAAACTGTTGGCGCTCCGCGCGGATTTCTTGGATCCGCGCTGGTCACCCCTGGCGGCGCCAGTGGCGCCGCCCCTGGCGCGCTCCGCGCGCCAGGGAGGGGGGCCAGGGCAGATCCAAGAAATCCGCGCGTAGCGCCAAATTGATCTTCGCCTTCGCCTTCTTCTTCTTCTTCTTCTAACTTGTCGGCGCTTATGTCTAGTATTATGTCGTTTGTGTGTGGTGTCGAAAAGATGTCGTTCATCTGATTCGAAAGTCTCCGTCTTCTTCTGATGTTGCTCTTCTTCTTTCGTTTATGCTCACGGCGTGTTTCCTTCTTCTGGGCCACCTGGCCGCAGCGCTGGCGGTCGCTCGGCGCGGTCGGAGCGGACGCCTGGCTCACTCGGGGGAGGGGCAGGGAGGCTCGGGCGGGCGGCGGCGGCGGCGGGGAGGCCAGGAGCGCGGCGGGCGCTCCTCTCGAAGAGCACGAGGCAGCATGAGCATAAGCAGCAGCAGCGCAGCACCATCGGCAACCCAACAACAACAACAACAACAACAACAAAAGGAGCGCTGACTGCATAACCAGCCTCTCCTGCCTCTCGTCCCTCGTCCCTCGTCCCCCGCCCCCGCTGTACTCCTCGCCCTCCCTCCTCCCTCGTCGCTCCTCCCTCCTCCTCCCTCGCCCCTCCCCTCCCCCCCTCCTCCGAAAAACACAACAGACAACTGCATGGACAGAAACGGTCGGAGCTCCGCACGGAGGTCTTGGATCGGCGCCGTGGAGGCCCCCCGTGCCGGCGCCTCCGCGCGCCAGGGGCGGAGGAGGAGGAGGAGGAGGAGGAGGAGGAGGAGGAGAAGGAGGAGGAGGAGGAGGAGGAGGAGGAGGAGGGGGGGGGACTCCAGCGCCGGGTCCGGGGAGAAGCCGCGCGGAGCTCCGGCAGCCTGTGCCGATGCAGTTGCTGGCTGCTGCTCGAGAGGAGCGCCCGCCTCGATCCTTGCCAGGAGGAGGAGGAGGAGGAGGAGGAGGACGAGAACGAGGACGAGGACGAACACGAGGAGGAGGAGGAGAAGGAGGAGGAGGAGGAGGAGGAGAAGGAGGAGGAGGAGGGGGGCAGCAGCGTTTGTTGTGCCTCGGTGCTCGTTGGCAGCAGTCTGAGCACCGCCGTGTCCGAGACCAAGTGCAAATGGCAGCGGTGCGGCTTACTTGGGGGACGGGCAGCAGCATCGGCGTTGTCGTGGACGTCTTCTCCCTTTCTCATCCTCCTCGTCATCATCATCTTTCCTCGCGTCTCGTTCTCCTTCTCCTCATCCTGACGCTGACTCTGCGTGCGCTCGGGATTACAGGGAGACGCCGCCCTCCTCATCTTGCTCCTCCTCAATCCTCATTTGGGGCGTTGTGCCCCCGCGTCATCCCTCGCATTTCTTCCTGCTCCTCGACCTCGTTCTCCGTCGCAGACGTTCCCAGTCTACACCTAAATTTCTCGCGGCTCCTGTTCTGTAGAATCGCTGTTCTCGTTTGGCCGCCAAAGGGTCCATTCGTCTCCGCGGTTGGAAATGAGATCGTCAATAGTTGGTCACGGCACCTTCCATAAGTGGTGCATCAGATGGGAGGGGGGGAGGGCACGTGCGAATAGGACGTGTTGCCAACGAACTTGCCGAGCACCGTGGAGCTGTCCTTGGTGCGGGGTCAGTCCAGCAAGGTCAATGTCCGCGACTTCTCGTGCATGGGCGGCGTCAGCGGCAGCCGCTGGGACTTCCACCACGAGCGCCACTGCTTCATCCCGACGAATCTGGACAACGTCTTCGGTGACATGGGTGGATCTCGAGACAAGTCGCTCTATGTCACGCTGCAGCAGGGAGCCACGCACGCCGCCACGTTCAGCTTGTGCTCGTTTAACTTTCCTCTGCGCGAGCTCTTCGACACGTTCGCAGAGCAGACGGGGACACCGATTTCAGAGCTGTGTTTCTCGTTCCAAGGCCGCCGACTGAACCGGCAAGATACGCCTCACTTGTGTGGCATGAAGGCTTGTGAGCCCGACGCAGTTCTGCTGACTGAAAGGTCACGATCAGGCTGTCTGGAGATGGGGAGGGATGCATCGGGACTTTGCCTTGAGGGAGGAGGGGAGAGGAGAGAGGGCAACAAATCCTTGGATACACGCTGGGCCTTTCCCACCAGTCAGCCCCCTACGGCCTTTCAGTCAACCAGTCAGCGCACGTGATACAGGTTACGCGCGCGGATGGGTGGCGGCGACGCCAACGTCTGCTCAGCATACTCAACAAAATGGGAGCTGCTGTCCAGCTTACACCAGTGCCGGTGATGACCGCGGCGCACCCGGCGTCACGCGTGAGCGCGGACACGGTACTCAGGGCGCTCCAGTTCTTACCCTTGGAAGACCTCGTAAGCACGACGTTGGCGAGCACCTTCTGGTTCCACGCCACGCAGCGTCTTTCCCTCCTTCTGCAGCTTCGACACGGGGACGTCGCTTTCACTACAGCCCCCCCAGAGGAGTACACCGCCTGGCTCACAGGAGTGTTTGGCCACAGCCAGTGGCTGGCCGCTGCTGAG